ACCACGAACGGAAGAACAAATTCGAAGGCTGAAATGTCAGAAATATGCGTTTGCGCTCCTGGCTAATGATTTACCTGTACCAAATCACGTATTCATAGGAATGATGTCTTCGGCACAAATAGAAACATTTTTGGCGACGCAATCTTTGGAACCTTCGTTGAAGTTTCCCGCTAAAATACTCATGGATGATTCGCAACAACCCATTTGTATACCTTATATTCCCACACCTGAACAGGTTTCTGAAATACAAAAGTCCATTTTTGATCGTGAACAAGAAATACGTAATAGAATTAATAAGCGTATAGAAGATCTCGAAAATTTACCTTCAAATTTGGCTAATGATCCTTTTAAAATTGGTCATATTGATGTTGTTAATCATACTACTGTGGGCCCTAAATTAAAGGCATTAATCGAACTTAAATCATTGAAATTATGGGAAAAACAACAAAAGGCATGCTATCTATTTTTTCTTTTTTCTCTCCTCATCAAAAAATTGTAATATATGGTCATCTACGATTGAACACTGTGAAAGTGTGTTAAAATTGACTACAATTTTCAAGAATGAACGACATTACGTATTACTTTTATTATATTAAATTCATGATTTTAGGACTCAACGTTGCTTCGCGTGCTCCTAAAATCTCCATTATAATTCATAGTTACGACAAGAAATATTGCAATATTCAAACTATCGAAAACCTGAGCCTATCCGATCAATGACTGCATACCGACGGAAAGCTGCGGTACCTGTGCGAGATTGGCCTACAACTGAAAGGGCTGAGAGAGAACGAGTTCAAGCACGTTTGCGTCGTGTAAGAGATTCTAGACTGGAGTACATCAATGCTATTTGCCTACATGGTCAAGAAATTAAATACACACATGATATTAAATACGAGAAACGCATTAGAATGGGACGTACAATATTAAACTTTCACTCAAATATTCAAAAACAAGCACAAAAAGAGAAAGAACGAGTTTCTAAAGAACGTATTAATGCACTTAAGAACAATGATGAAGAGGCATATCTAAAACTTATAGATGAAGAGAAAGATACTCGTATTACACATCTATTACGTCAAACTGATACATATTTGGAATCTTTAACGCAAGCCGTCGTTGATCAGCAAAATCATCATCGTCGTTTGTATAAAGGTAAAGGTAAATTAGTAGATTCATCTGATCATGCGGTAACGGCTAGTAGTATCACAGCTACTGAAGATGAAGATAATATAATTGAAACAACGGTAATATTTTGTCATTTGTTTTGTTAAATTGTTATGCTAAATTTATGTTAAATTGTATGACAAATTATTTATACTTGTGATTTTTATCCGTCTTTTTTTCAATATAAGGATGGTAAAAAGATTGATTATTATGCTGTTGCACATCGAATTCAAGAGAAAGTCGAACAACCAAATATTCTCATCGGTGGCCTGTTAAAAGATTACCAGGTTCACATCTAACTATTAATTTTTTATTAAAAAATTTGCGTCATTTTTGTTTTCTAAAGAATTTTTGTTTTCATTTTGTAAATATAGATCAAAGGTCTCCAATGGATGGTGTCTTTATATAATAATCATTTGAATGGCATTTTAGCCGATGAAATGGGTCTAGGAAAAACTATTCAGACTATTTCATTAATCACGTACCTTATTGAAAAGAAAAGACAGAATGGCCCCTTTCTAATCATTGTTCCATTATCGTAAATACATTATTTATATTCTTTTTTGTAATCTTTTTTGAATTGTAACTTTTTTTAATACAAGTTTTTTTTTCAGCACTATGACTAATTGGCAAATGGAATTCGAAAAGTGGGCACCGGTAGTCTCAGAAAGACTATGTATATACAAAGGAACACCTACTGAGCGAAAGGCCTTACAAAGAAAATATTTACGTTGCCTAGATTTTTATGTCTTCTTAACGACTTATGAATATATTATAAAAGATAAAACTGTGTTGAGCAAACCACGATGGCTTTATTGTATTATAGATGAAGGTCACCGTATGAAGAATGTCAATTCGAGGCTCTCATTAGTTTTAAGTAAAGAATATAATTTCCGATATCGACTTATACTTACAGGAACTCCATTACAGGTAATATAATTAATAGTCTGTCGTTTTTGTATAATTCATAATTTACTAACATTGTTGGTTTATAGAATAATTTGCCTGAACTTTGGTCTTTATTGAACTTTGTCTTGCCTAAGATATTCAATTCCGTTAGTA